CCCTGAGAAATTTTTTTTTTTAATATAAAAAAAAAAAAAAAAGAAAATGAAAATAAAAATAAGAGTTATTGAATGAAATTATCAATTACACACAGAGCGCTCGAAACATTGCTATTTGCCAATCTAGCACTCTCTTCCGCCCACTTTTCAAAATTTCACTGAAATATTAGAATACAAGGAAAAAAACTCGACCCATCTCTTTCATTTTTATCAAATTATCAATGATTTGATAGTGACATACTTACATGCATCAGTTTGTTAGTTGAAAGGATGATGTGGGTGCCAATTCTATAACTAACAATGTTTCAAGTGATGAATATGAAGCTATACTTATAGAGTAATATGCTTGGATTGGTGAAAGAAACTCGATGTATGACTTCGTCTTTCATTGTTATTAGAAATTATAATTTTGTTTAACTTTTTTTTCGTTTGGAGTCATGACGCAAAGAGAAGAATAAATTTAAATGAAATACTTTTTCTTAGTTTTTTTTTTTTCATTATTTTATAGGTACCATATTTGGAAGAGTAAGAGTTTTTCTGGTATATTACCCGGTTCCATAATTAATATTTATAAGAAATCATTATATACAAAACACCCGAAATAGTGCTATTAACAGAAGACGCGATTTATTTGAAATATGGAACCAATACATTTAAACGCATCATCATCAAATTATTAATAATTTCATAAAAAAATGAATAATACAATTTGAGATTTTTCAATAAATTTAGATATTTGAGTGAGAATTTGAAAAATGGATGAAAAAAATATTTAATTTGTAAATTCCGATATTTTGGATTCCTTACAAGGTGAAAAAATATTAGAATGGGTAAATAGAAAAATGCAGACGATCATTTGAGTCGTACTACACGTGCTTCAGACAACATGATGTAATCCACACCATCATTCAAATCATTATCCAAAGATAATATTTTCTCTTAAAAAATATTAAAATAGAACAAAACAAAGTGCACATGGGTAAAATCTGCAACTAACAACTTTTCCCTAAAAAAAAAAAAAGGCAGCTTTATTGCCACCTCCAAAAAACGAGAAGGCAGCCATGTCGGAATCTGAAGCAGAGCAAGTCCGCATCCTCTCCCGCCACACAATCCGCCCATCCCCACCACCCCCCGCCGCCGCCGTCGCCGCGAAATCACGCATCCGCCAAATCCATCTGAACCAATGGGATCTCCACCTCCTCTCCAACAACTACATCCAAAAGGGCCTCCTTTTCCCTCCACCAATCCCCGACCAAAACCTCCTCATCCCCCTCCTCCTCTCCTCCTTCTCCCAAGCCCTCAACCTCTTCTACCCCTTCGCCGGCCGCCTCTCCACCACCCGCCACCCCACCTACTCCATTTCCATCCACGCCAACGACGCCGGCGCCGAATTCATCCACTCCTCCGCCCCTCACCTCACATCCTCCGACTTCACCTCCTCCCTCTTCATCCCCCCAGCCGTCAGATCCCTCTTCCCGCTCGACAACCTCGTAAACCACGACGGGCATACCTTTCCCCTGCTGGCCGCGCAGGCCAATATCCTCGCCGACGGGTCTTTGTTTCTTGCCTGCTCGCTGAATCACGCGGTGGCGGATGGGGCGTCGTTTTGGCATTTCATTAATACGTGGTCGGCGCTGACTCGGTCGGGCGGTGCGAGTATTGGTGATGCTGGGCCGCCGGTGATTCAGCACTGGTTTCATCCGTCCACTCCACCTCCGATCGGGCTTCCGTTCCGAAATGAAGCTGAGTTTATTGTTCGTGATCCACTTCCGGCGACGAGGGAGTGTTTCTTCCATTTCTCCGGCGGGGCCGTGGCGCGGCTCAAGGATAAAGCTAACCGGGAGATGGGTGTTACCAGGATCTCCTCGCTGCAGGTACTCCCGTTTTCATTAGTTCCTTTCATATTCCTATGCATTTACATATCTTCCATCAAATTGTTGTTTTATATTTTCTAAGTATTTTTTTCAATATATTTATATTACATAAATAAGAAAAGATGCTTCTATAATATTAATTCAAGTTAGTCTTAAAATATAATTATAAATAAAATAATTATTTAGGAGATAACTAATTTTTAAAAATAATTTGATATCAAATAAAGAATATAACTTTTAAATAATTTAATAATTAAAAAAAATTATTGAATTTTAATATATTTTGATTATTTTATGTATTAATTAATTTTTAAACTAGTAGATTCACAAGCTAACAAGTCGAATCAAGGTGGTCTTGAGTTTGACCTGTTAGCGAGCCAAGCCCAAGCATGATGAGGAGTTAGCTTGACTCATAAATGAAGCAATGCACTTGATGAACACCTTGAACTTATTATATCATATTTTTTTAAATGAGTAAATAGACAAGTTCAAATATTTTTAGAAAATTCTAAGCTTAAATTAATCTGAATTGAACATAGTCCAATTTTTTTTGAAATTTTCGTGAACAAACTAGTTTTTTGTTTTACAACTTGTTAACTATTCTATATTTATATGATATATTATTTAAATAAAAATTAATTAATAAAAAAATTTTAAGAATATCTTTAATATAAATATGAACATGAATTTAATATATTTTTTTATTTCAATTAATTAATTTATTATTATTTATTCTAGCTATTTGATTTAAAAAATTATTTATAATTTATATGTTATTTTATTTACTTTAAATAAATTAATTACATGCCAAATTGAAATCCAATCAATTACTTGTTTATATAGATTTGTAAAATTATTTATTAAAAAATTAATATAAAAAATGAAATACTCAAATGTTTACATGTTTTATATGAAAAATCATGTAAAAATTAAAAATTCTAAATAAAAAATTAGGTTCTCATCTGAATTCTTACCTTTTAATTAACATAGACAAATCAATTACAAATCAAATATGAAAATTAACATTTTTATGTGTATCAGGTATATACATACATGTATAAGCTTTTCTCAAATTCGAAGTCAAAATGAATAATTTATGATTCGGCCGTGCCAAATCCGAACCATGACGTATTTGACACAACTCGGCTTGATTACTACCCTACTTACTACGCTAATTTGGTTTCCTACTCGATGCTCGATTGAGTGATATTTGTTTGGGTATTTCAAAAGTTTATCATTGAGCATGATCATCACAAGAATGAAACAATTAATAGGAATTTGATTGTAAAAAACTTATTTTATAATCTAGTGATTAATCCTTGGACATGCAAATATGATACATTAACCCGAAGTGATTAAGGAAAAAAAGATCCTAAATTTTTTGATGCAGGCTTTGCTCGCCCACATGTGGCGCGCGACCACCCGTGCAAGAGGACTCAAGCCAGACATAGAGACCACCTACGTGGTGATTGTCGGCCACCGCCACCGCGTCACTCCACCACTCCCAAAAACCTATATGGGCAACACCGCGATTGGTGTTCCGGCGACGGCTCGGGCCGGCGAACTTGCTGAAAACGGGTTGGGTTGGGCGGCATTACAGCTGAACAAGGTAGTGGCTTTCGCGACGGAGGAAAATGCAATAAGATGGTTGGAAAATTGGGCGAAGAGACCGCAGATGATGAAGATAAAGAAGCTCCATGGAACGTGTCTGCTTACGGGGAGCTCGCCGAGGTTTGATGTGTTTGGGAACGATTTCGGGTGGGGGCGGCCGGCGGAGGTGAGGAGCGGCAGTGGGAGTAAGTTGGACGGGAAGGTGACGGTTTATGAAGGGAAGGAGGGGGGAGGGAGCATGGCTTTGGAAGTTTGCTTGTCGGCGGCGGCGCTTAATGCTTTGGTTGTGGATGAGGAATTTATGGAGGCTGTGGGGTTGGCGACTGGCTAATTTTTGAATTTAAGGAAGCGAGGCTTGAAGTGAACAAATAAATTTTATGTGAGGAATTTTTTGGTAGAAAATTTTTGTTAGCTTTGTTTTTCTTTTAGGTTTTCTCTATTTTTTTTATGTTATTTTGTAATGCTTATATTTTATTTCTGGGGCATTCACATACATAGCTCTCCCAATTTTTATGGATTTACTTTTTTCATACTAAATTTTTTATATTTACAAGCAACTTATAAAAAATAGCACATATTATCATCTTTTAATTGTTAAATTCATCTTTTCATCAATAAGTAAGTGTTATATGTATAAAAATGAAACTCTAGATGTGAGATAAGTAAATCCACAAGAATTGTGTTTTTTCTTGTAATCGTCGAGATGATCGACGGGTGTAATCTTTAAGTAATAAAATCCTTTGTAGCTCCGTGGACGTGGACAATTTGTTGAACCACATAAAGTTGTGTGTTTTCACTGTGCTTTTTTGTTTTGCATTTTTTTTTATCCGATTTTCCACTTTATTGCCGTCATTTTTTACAACTGGTATCAGAGCTCAGGTTCAAATATGTGGGACAGCGATAGCCGAAGATAATGTGATTGCATTGGGAATCGAGAATTTTAATGACATAGATTTTGATTACTGAATGATGCAGATAGAGGACTACCTCTATGGGAAGAAACTTCATCTTTCGTTACTAGGAAAGTGAACGGAAAAGATTGATTCTCTGTCATTGAATCCGAATTCTCTGCCAGTGAATCCGACTTAGGAGCTGACAGAATTTCCACCAGTGAAGAAGACATTACACAACAAATATGTGTACCTGGTAAAAACTGCGCTTAATGACAGTAAGTGGTACAAAACTATACTTGTTGAAAAGTGCTTTCAGCATAGACAGGATATTGCCCATAGAAGTAACCCAGAAAAGAGCTTAGAGGTACAAGACTAAGTTGACGCTGATATGTCAACTAAGGGTGTTACCCTTGATAAACTAAAGTTGTGTTCGACTTCAGTTGGTCTTCTAATGTGAAGACATGGGGCTTTAACTTGCAGAGGTAGAGGACATCACGATTGAAAAAAAATGGTGACGCAGCTAGTGCATAATGTAGCCAGTGTATCAATCTTCAAGTGAGAGATTTGTTGCGAATATAAAAATTGGTCCATTATTCAAATTGACATTTTCTCATGTTTGACAGCAAATTGGATTTGATACTTGAAATTAATTGCTCTTAATTCATTATATGATTTGCTGGAGATGAGAAAAAGAAATAATTAACGAGTTTCATTAATTATTTAATTAACTCTTTAATGGGCCTAATGACATGATGAAATTAATAAGTAAGCATGCTAGCTCCGCTTGTAATCTCTCTCTGGACTTAGTTTCTCTCCGGCGTTTCTTCTTCTTGATGGTCGCTCTCTAGTAGAAAGGAAGGAGAGGAGAGAGATTGTTCTTTCTTGTAATCATCGAGACAATAGACGGGTGTAATCCTCAAGTAATTAAATTTTCTGCAGCTCCGTAGACGTAGACAATTTGCCGAACCACGTAAATCTGTGTGTCCGCTGTGCTTTTCTGTTTTGTGTTTTTCTTGATCCGATTTTTCGTTTTATTGTCGTTATTTTTTTTTACAATAAATTGTGTGCTGTGTATGTGATTTTCCCTTTATTTTCTTAAAATGTGTTGCTTTATTTTTCATATTAAAATTTGCAATACTTCAATTGAGTCAAGGACATTCAATAAAATTAAATATATTTTATTTAACAAAAAGTTGAAATAAATCTAATGCATTTCATAATTTAATTTTTTTATAATTACTATACAATATTTTAAAATTTAAGGAAACAATGATGTATTGTTACACATGTTTCTATCATATAATTTTAATAATAAATGTCTCATATTTATTTTGTCTAATGTATCATGCTTGCATTATATTTTTGGTCCACGATGGTATGAAAATTATAACCAATAAAGTTGTAAGCAATGCATCATTTACTCTTCTAAAAGTGTTGTACCTATGCGGAATATGTATCAAACATCGACATTTTTCTTACATCCACCAATACTTGTCCAACACCACAACAAAAACCGGCTGAAAAATTTGACAATCAAGATTGTGCAGGTAATTTTTTGAATTTTTGTTCGATGACTTTTCGATGGTTAAGATAACTAACGACTTTCATACAAGTTGAACCCATGGGTTTTTAGTGAATCTAGTAATTGATGATCATTAAATAATATTTAACAGTCAAAATTGTAAGTTCATAGTAACTTATAAATAATATCTGTAGAGTAACAAAACACCATATAAAGTGATGCAACGACTCACTTCAAAGATGGTGTAATGACACACAAAAAATAGTGTAATAACACACCCTAGGTAAAATGGAACAATGAGCCTCTCATACGGTGTAACCATGCAGCCTGAAGTAGGTGTACCGAGCAAATCAAATATGGTGCAACGACGCGTCCCCACATATGGTGCAACGATGCATCTCAAAAAATGATATAACGATGCACCCAAAAAATGATATAATAACACATCCTGGAATGACTACCTTTAATTGCCATACTTAGAATATAACGGCCTTCTCTTAACACATGAAGCTCTCTCCTCACAACTCTCCACCACAACATATGTGGCTCACAACTCATGTAGCTCCCAAATCCAACCTATGCGACATACGTGTTGAGAAAATTAGGGCGAAGAAAAACAGTAATCGACACAAATCCAGAAGAACACAAAGATTTAACGAGACTCGGCAAAGATGCCTAAATTCTTGGGAGCAGAGCGACGACCTCCTTTTCAATATTCAGAAAAGAGTACATAATACAAGATTCAACTCTCTCAAAGGCCTAGGATTACAAACAGGTTTATTTATAATCCTAGAGTAAACCCTACAGTACAATATGTAATTCCCAAATTACCCATGTACCGTATAGCCCCAACCCACATAACGTAACTTCCCGATTTGGACAGATTCTTTCGCTCCGCTTTGTTCCAGCGTCTGTCCCTATATGGTATATGAGTCATACCATAACAAATCTCCACCTTGACGAATATCCAACCCCTTAGGAGAAAAGATACCTGGGAGTTACACCTGCACCAATGTGGGTTAGGCCATCATGCTTTTGCTGCGCCCTCGCTGATCTCAACCCACTAAATTCCAAGAGACACATCTCATCAATTTCAAGAGACATCTCTTTATTTCAAGAGACTCCAAATCCTGGTATTATGAGTCATACCTAACAATTCTCCACCTTGGCGAATATCCAACCCTTTAGGAGAAAATCTCCACCTTGCGAATATTCAATCCCTTAGGAGAAAAAATCTCCACCTTGCGAATATCCTGCCCTTTAGGAGAAAATCTCCACTTTGCGAATATCCAGCCCTTTAGGAGAAATATCTCCACCTTGCGAATATCCTGTCCCTTAGGAGAAAATCTCCACCTTGCGAATATCCATCCCCTTAGGAGAAATATATCATGGAGTTTCTTATGCAGAAATGTGGGTTGAAGGACTTTTCTTGTTCGCGCCAGCACTTCGGCTAAACTGATATCACGTAAGCGAAACCCTTCGCGAAATACCTCCGCGAAACCACTGTTCGCGAATAATAGCGCCTACTCGCTTGCGAGCACCCTACTGAACTCCACTTGTCGCAACTCCTCCTGCGACGAACTTGCAAACTGCGCTGGTCGAACATCGCCAAACTCTTCTGTTCGCAAATGCTCATGTTCGCAGCAACTGCACACGAACTCCTGTTCGCTAACTCCACCTCGCCTGATGCCGCGAAGGTTCATGAACTGTCGCGAC